TATCTGGTGTTTTCCATTTTTAAAATATGGAATATTACTTCCTAAATTGTCATTAGTACTATACATTAGAAAACTATTTATAATTAAGCAATACACGGCTATTAGATATAAATATTAATTAATAACTTTAAAATGAAGAAAAGATTAGCTCTTTTAATTCTTTTTGTTTTAATTTCATTTGCTAAATAAAATTGCATAAGATAATTTCACTATTTGAATTCAATTTAGAAGGGTAATCATAAAAAAGTTTTATAATTTTAGCAAGTTAAATTAGAATTGGTGAGTAATCTGATGAAATATTAACCCACTTGTTATCTATTGTATCAAATCAAAATTCAACATTAAGTATAAGAATAAATTTTGGTTGGATGAGTTTTTTTTTCTAAAGCAAAGATACATAAATTGACTTATAATTAAAAAGAGATATAAGAGAAAAGTCATAAATTGTATTTGCTACAATAATTGTCCAATAGTAAAATAGAAGTTATTTCTCAAATAAGTCAAATCATTTTATTAATTTCATTAAACAACAGGTCTTTATTTCAATATTTGATTTCCTATTTTTGGAGCAGGACAATTTTGTAACTATAACTTATAAAGTGTTTCATATATATATTTTATATTAAACTTACTTAAAAGTATCTATTATCAATCTATTTAATCACTGTTTCAACAGTTTAATAGATATATTATATATGATATAGTACTATTATTAATATACAACATAATATTTCGGATTGAATTGCATAGTTTTATCAAATATCTTACCAGATATTATTTGTATTTTAAATTATCATTAGTAATATTTTTAAAGTTTTATGTAAAAGATATTGGTATTATTTATATATACTCAAAAAAGAATTATTATTTCATTATTTGTTTCATTTAACTAATTATTATATTAAATTTAGCTAAACTGGATAAAAATGTATTTAATTTATGAAATAGGGAAATTTTTATTATCATTTTGAAGAAAACAATTTATATAATAATAATAATTCCAAATAATAAGCATCATTTAAAATTCACTAATATA